TGTGTACATCTCAAGCAAACTTCACATCGACAAGGGTTGGCAGGTATGTGCAAGCTAGTATCTCCACCATGTTCACTTTGAGTTCAAAGCCCAAATTCTTCACATCTTCCGCCAGCTGCTCGTCTGCAGCTAGCCGCTCGTGCAAGCCGGCTTTCACGCTAACCTGACTCCGAGACGGCCAAGTTCACGACACACGTGAGGCGTGACGGAGTTTTTCTACATCCGCCCAGGAGCCCAATTCTCCCAGAGATCGGCATCCTCCAACCGCTCGGCGCGCAATAGCGTACGGCTCGGCTGGACTCGCGACTGGTTGACCAACTGAGCACACGGGTGACAGGAGCAAGTTTGCATCTAACTGCAGGAATTCAGAACCTCAAGACCTCAGAGTAAGTTGCGAACGCACTGCATGTGCGTCTGGCCAGCATCTGCCAAGGCTGCAGGCTGCCGCTTCAATGTGCAAAGATCGAGAGGATGCACGGTGCCTTCTACTGGTTCCGGATTCTTAAATCTGTCTTTGGTCAGGTTGGTGGCGACGTTTCTGCGAGCACAGGCGCAGCATGGCGCAGCTTCCCAATTCTCACTGCAAGGCTTCTTCGGAAGCAAAGCAAGCCGCCCTAATACTCTCACAGCATAGGCCATCAAGGCTGCCAAGGCTCTTCCAATGCAGGGGTATCTGCATGAAGAACTTGCGCTTCATTTTTTCCTCGATGGCATGCTCATCATCCTTAGTGAAGCAGCTTTAGCCAACGTGGCTCGGCGGTATCTTGCTTCCCGCGTGATGATGTGTTGGTCGGTGTCGAGATTTATCCAAGTTGTCGTGGGCCGTCAATGTTTGCAACACGCCCACTAAAGCTAGAGTTCGCAAAACCACCAGTGTCGAAGTCACTTTCGAGTGTTGAAGGTTCCTTGGAGTATGCTCCCAGTTTCTAACTGGGACTTCATGCCGGTAAGAGCGTTTTTTTTTTTTTGCTGTCGTTGTTTCTTTCTGTGGTTGCGGGGGCGCGCTTTTTGTTTTGCTGTCGTCCCTGCGGGACGCGTTCTTTTTTGTTTTTCGCTCTGTTGGCGGGGGCGCGTTTGTTGTTTTGCTGTCGGTGCGCACCCCGGGTGCTTGTTTATTAATATTCCTACTACTACTACTACTACTACTACTACTACTACTACGGTAAGAGTGTTTTTTGTAATTCTTTGCTGTCGTTGCGGGGCGCGTTTGAATGCTGTCGTTGTGTTTTTTTTTTTTTTTTGCTGTCGTTGCGCGGGCACGTTTCTTTTGCTGTCGTCCCTGCGGGGCGTGTTTTTTTTTTCGCTCTGTAGGCGGGGGCGTGTTTGTTTTTTTGCTGTCGTTGCGCTCCCCGGGTTGTTCATTATTATTCCTACTACTACTACTGCTGCTGCTGCTGCTACTACTACTACTACTACTACTACTACTACTACTACTACTTTTGCTTTGCTGTTGTTGCGCGTGCCGGGGTTTCTTGCTTCGCGCGTAATACACACCCCTCAAAGGCATGTCTTCCGTAATAGTGATGACAGAATACGTATACTACAGACAAGCATTCGGTCGGAAACATGTCTGTATGACAGAATCAAGGCATATTCCATATTCTATCTAGGAAAGATATGTCTTCTTAGCTCACCTCCACATCGCCCTACAAACGTCGTTAACGCTACAGTAAACAGCCGAAAAGCTGCGGTACATCTGGCCGTGTCATGCCGCACGAAACTTGCTTTCAGCTTCGACCTCAGCTAGGATTGCATCATACCAAAAACATTCTCTTGATCCCGTTCGAACCAGTGGCCCTTTCTCCTTCCGCTAGGCGCGTTTTTTGTTTTGCTGTGGTTTCTGGGGGCGCGCTTTTGTTTGGCTGTCGTTGCAGGGGCGCATTGGCTGCCGTTGCGGGGGCGCGTTTCTTGTTTTGCTGTCGTTGCGGGGGCGCTATTTTTTTTGCTGTCGTTGCAGGGGCGCGTTGTTTTTTTTGCTGTCGTTGCGGGCACCGGGGTTCACTCACTCACTGGCTTCCTGGGTCCGCGCAACGAGAACAAAACAAACATAAAGGCAACTACAGCAAACAAACACTGCTTCCGGACTTCATGCCCTGTGCGATTGCTAATGGCGAGCGGTATTGTCCCTACGCAGGACGTGCGTGCAAAATTTCACTGCTTCAATGTAACCACAACACGGTGCTCCTGCGATGCAAACCGCTAAGCCCTGCTTCGTACATGAGTGCCTCGGACCGATTCCAGTCTCAGCGTTACCTCATATTGAGCTGTCTGCAGGTGGAGATCTTTTGCATAGACCCGCTGGTAAAGCACGAGGTATTCCGGGTAGCATTGGTCTGCGTCGTACACCACCAATTCACGGAACAAGCCTAGGTTAGCAAACACCAGACCTGAAATTGTGCGAGGAGAACACTTCGTGCGGAGGTGTGCTGAAAGGTGTCCAAGAGGCGGGTGCCGCAAGTCGAGTCAAATTCGCCGGACATCACCCTCTCGCCTGCCTTTGGATCGCCCTTTGTGCAATTCATTTTTCCCATCGTCAACCGGCAGACCAGCACGGCAAACACCCCATCCTGAGAGCACGAGGACATCTGACAGACCGTTCTGCCTGTCGGCTTCATTAATGCCGTTGGACAAGCTGCATAATAGCCATCCGGCTCATCCTTGGCGTACTCATCCGCCTGACAGCTCTTTGTGCGAGGCACCGGACGGCACGAGGTGGAAGCCCTGCCTTTGTGATGGACTCACCAAGATAGGCACCTCGACCATACAGTGTTCCAGTACTGGAGCCTGCATACTCGATTTTGAAGTCCTTGGATGACACGGCCAAGACGATTAACGATGTTTCCACCGTGTGCCTCAGGAGAAAGAGGGTCTGTATTTTGGCCTTGGGGTTGGAGTGAGCCTGCCGTTTAAAAGCAAAGAAGCATTTTCCGCAATGGACAAGGCATAGCGAACGAAGGTCCCGTGGTAAGCATAGACCTCGTTCACAGAGTTGTCCAAGGGAGCAAAGGTACCTGAGGCCACCAATTGCAACGGAAACCTTGCCGAGTCAGAACTGCCATAGCCAGGAGACCTGGATACTTTTCGGTCACTGACCGCGTCAACGGCGGAGGATTGAACTCCTCAATCCCTTCGCTTTCCCGGCTCTCCCGGATGGCAGTTCGCTTATCCACATATCCTCGGCTAGAGCGTCTAACAGGAATGGGGAAGTGCCGTCTAACCCGAGAAAGTCCATCGTGTGGATGCAGCTGAGTGACTCCTCCAAATGTCGGATGCCTGCGTGACACATGTCAGCGAGTAGGCACATCGGTTGATGTCTTCCTGCCTCCACTCGAATAACGCGGCGCACGCGGTACCTAATAGGAAGCCCAGGATCCGCACCTGGCCTGGGTAAGCACGAGAAGCCAGTTTTAAAGCAGGTCATGGCTTTTCAGGATGAGCTGGACTCAAGTAGAGAGGTCGATTTCTTTACTGCGCATGATTTTATGAAGTAGCATCTTGTAGCGAGAGTAGGTACACTGATCGTACTAGAGCCGCACCTCATACTGTAGAGCCATCAGCAAAAGCACGGTCTTAAAGCCGAGGTGCTGTACGCAAGGACAACCGCCTGGAGTCTTGCCATGCTCGCCAGTGGGACAAGGTCGGTCTTGCGTGGCTTTGGCCACCTTGACAACAGAGGTCTCGATTCCCAATCACAGGATGTCCAAATGCAGCAGGCTGCATACGATTCATTCAGCATTTCTTCAAAAGCTGCGTGCTCTGTCTCCGGTGCATAAAACCTGAGATCGGAAGCATTCTGCGCACCATGCTTGCAAGCAAACATTACAGAAGAGCTAGCTCGAACAGAGGCACAGAGCAGCACGACACAGCAAAGAAGGAATTGTTAAGATGTAGCACATAAACTTCCGGAGAAATTCTCAGCGTCGGTTGGGTGGTTGACACATGCCACGCATGCCCTCAAATTTCCGACATGGTCTTGCGCACGGGTGGCAGTTCGAGCCGACTGAGCCCTAGGATCAGAGTCAAGAGGTTCAGCGTGGGATCAGTGTGAAGTGTACCATGATCGCCCAAATAGACGAGCTTGGTGCAACTTTCGCAGGTCTTGCGGTTCCGTTGCCATGCGCTGTCGCAGGGTTGGGTGAAGTTCAGGTTCAACTGAAGATCTGCAGTATCTGGATTAAGCTGGGGCACATGTCATCAAAGCGAGAATTTGTGTGGTCTGCAGTGCCCTTGGAGTGATACCTGAAGCAGCATTCCGTAAAGAGCCCTACAGCTGTGCCAACGGAAAGTCATGCTCTCATGTGGCAGTACGTCTGGAGAAGGTGCCAGTACTCTGGGAGAGCATCGTCGCCAGCAGCGGACACTTCGCTTTTCTGGCTTGTCCTTGGAACATCGCCTTTTGGCGCATCGTCCTCTGGCGAGCGTGAGCTGGTTGTCTTCACCTGAGTTTCACTTAGGCTGGCTCTGAGCACTGCAGGAGGCCAGCTTCTCGTGTACTGGGGAGCCAGCCGGCTCAGGAGCAGCGTGGATGACCGTGGGTGCGGCGGGAGTCTTACTTGCTCCGGAACCCATGGCCAGTAGCTCATCATGGTCACCGGGCTACCCTGATTGAGCACAATGCGTTTGGAAACAAAGTCCAGTGGTAGTGCTTGAGCATCACCTCGCACTGCTGGGCTGTTTGTACACCAGAACGGGGTAAGGAACTCCGTCGGGCTGTGCTTTACTGCTTTTCGCTTCGCGCTCCGCTGGGCTTGCCCGTGCATAGCCGCTACGCAGCCATGCATGTGGCACCACCGATTTCGTTAGGTGACTGTTGTGAGGCGGCGAGATGTCGCATACTCGCGCTGGCCTTTGCCTCTCGTGCCTCAACCTTCACTACGAGCACGGACTGCGCTGGTAGCAGATTAAAACGGACTGAAGTGTCCGAACCGCAACAGGTCCTGCCGAGGGTGAAAACGTCTCGATGGAATTTCATCCGACATACGTGTATCAGGAGCATCTTGTCACTCTGCGACCGCGCAGCACAGCATGCCTAGAGCGAAGTGCAAAGCAGGACACAGACGGCCTACCGGTACCCTTTAGCATGACGAGACAGAAAACAGGCTTGGCCCAGGCCTTTCTCTCCTGGCTCCTCGGTTGGGTCGTCCATGGCCAGTCGGGGCTCATCGCCATCCTTGCCTCTCCACCATAACGGCACTCGTTGCACATTATTGCCGATGCTATCTCCTACAGTGGATCCCCTAGCATCTTCTCTGCACCAGTCAAAAGCAAGGGCAGCTCTCCTTTTCTCTTTCTGTGTGCACTGGGACGTAGGTCCAAAACCATGGCGTCCGACGCACAATACACGCAGACTTGGAACGACAACGTTTTATGCAGAGGCCTGGGCACTGAATTACGGCGTACATGGAGTGGCTTTGTAAGGCTCCAGCGGCACCTCTCGTCTCTTGCTTGCTCCAGAATTACGGTGAGAGCATCACTCCAACCCAACCCGCCCCCCCCGCCCCCGGGATCCGAAAGTCCAGTGTCCAGCGCGCGTCTTGTGTCTCTCTCGCTCTCGCCGTCCGTCTGCCTGCTACCACAGCTCCTAGGGAGCGCGTGCCTTTTGGTGACCTGTCCATGCTTTCAATCATCTTTTCGACCTCCTGCCGGTCACGGGATGCATCTGACAGCAAGGTGTGCAGCATGATGGGACAGAGAAGATTGAAAAGTCTTGCGTCCCCTTGCGTGTTGCCGAGTTCGACTAGGGTTCCAAGTCAAGCAAGACTCGGTGATGCAAGTGCAGATCGAGCCGGGCCGGGGTGGCTCCTCTTCATCGTTGTAGCTCAGGCACAGGTGGTATTCGGGGTAGACAGCGCCTGAAATGCTTGTGCAGGTTCATGCCAGGTTACTGGCAAGCCGGCACTATCAGGGCTGGGGGCTGCCGTCTTTGACGAGTACTTCTCTGCGTCCGTTGGCATCGGTCTGACAAGCCATCAGCCATCAAGACTTGAGCAGCTTAAGTGAAAGGACTTCCATGCTCATGCCTCGATGATCAAGAAGTCGGTGTTCTCGTCAGCTATGTCAACGCCAGGCAGTCCGCACATGACGCGGCACAGCACCGCCACTTTGATGCCGTCCTGATGCAGCGGGGGAGGGGGGGTCTGGCTAAGGCCAGGAATCTCACATGCCTTGCAATGCATGCCTTGCCTCAGGCTTTGTCTGCTTGAGTGCAGTCTGCAAGCTTTCGTAGAACCGCGTTCCTGGTAGTGTCGCATCCCTCCTCACATGGCCCTGGCTCAATTCCTCAGGGTCGGATGAGCATTCGAAGGGACGCGAAGGAGGAGACTATGGCTGCCGTGCTTCAGTGGCGGCTGACCGCGTGCCTCTGTGATGCAGGCGTGGCATTTGCCCATCGACAACTCCCTAACTTCTTGGGCCCGTGCAAGCATACCACAAGAAGCCTTCATGCAAACGCCGGTCCAGTTCATCCACCTGTTGCTTGAGTGAGGGCAGCTTTCAATCACTGGGGATGTCACAATGAGCCAGGCCACCGGCAGGCGTCTACCTGCTGCAAGACCCAAGTCGTCCAAGTCTAAGCCAAACTCGTTGCGCGAAAACCTGTGAGAGAGCGCATCTTGTCAGTTTGCTCTCGACCCAAGGACAAGTTTGGGCAACAGTGGCCTGCACTTGTCGCCGGACTTACAGCCCCGCGGGGTCTTGAAAAACTTGCACGGTCGCTTCATCAGCGCACGTAGGTCTTTCCTTTCAGGAAACATTAATCTCGACTCTCGACACAGGTAGGCTCTAGCCCAGGCAGCTTTGGACAAAGGCTCTCCACCAAAGTGAGCCGTAAGGGATCTCCGCTTCGCTCATCTATCCGACTACGCAGAGCCGCCTTGAATTGCACCTGAGTCGCACGCTGAATGCAACTGCTCGTTTGCCCTGCATCTTGCAAAGTCTCGAACGACGGTGTGCGTCCAAGCTGAGACGCATAGCGTTCCCACATCTTGGAGTCTTCCAACCGCGTTGCTTGCAGGATGGTCCGTGCTGGCACGAGCTGCGCTTGGTTGACCAACTTAGCATTCGATGCAACGCCACAGCCCACACCCTTTCGGCAGCCGATGCCAAGTGCCACACGCATTGCATCCATGCAGTGGCCGGACCTGCAATGGAGGCCAGAAGTTTAAGGTGCCACACAGTTTACGCCTTCTTATCTCCTGGAGGTGCTTGCCTTTCAGATCAATCTCCTCCCGAAAGCCGGTAGATAGGTCGGTCGCGACATTCCTCGAGGCTGCTCAACCCGTCGACTCGGGTAACTGAGCTTTGTACACTTGTCGCTACAGGCTGCTTCAAGACGTCCTCCAGTGAAGTGGCACTTGCATGAAGAATCGACGTTTCCGTGGCTTTGTGGTCTCTGCCTCCTCCGGGTCCTGTATAGCTCTGCAAAACTTGAGGTGTCTGACGGGTATCGCATGTGCTCTATGTGCTCTACAGTCTACAGCTCCCTCCAGTCCCGCCTTTGCATATCTCCTCTTGTAGAGAACAACATATTCGGGATAGCACTGGTCAGCATCGTAGATCACCAGCTCTCGAAACACACCTGCTTAGGATAACAAGTACAGGTTGTGAGTACAGGCAGCATCACAGCTCCATCTTCCGTGGAACATGCGTGACAAAATGAACGAACACGTGCATTTGGCGTGCAGAACCGAGAAGTATGCAAGGCCAGGGAACAAGATCAAAATGCCACAGGACACATCCGCCGAGCTGCGTGTGCCGCATGTGCTGTCGAACTCTCCAGCGCTGACTTTCTCCGCGGCTTTCGCGTCAGATTTGGTACAGTTCAGCTTGCCCATAACGACACGGCACACCAGGACAGCAAAGACCCCGTCCTAGGCACAATGCGCTGCTCATGCAAGCATTGCGCAAGTCCAGCTCCTGCTTCCAAGAAACATAGTAGCCTCCCGGTTCGTCCTTTGCGTATTCATCTGCCTAGCATTGAGAATGTTTCCGTGCTCTCGGTCGAGGGACTGAGGACCAACGGCCAAGAGTTCCACTCTCTGCCTTGCTGATAGACTCGCCCAGATATGCCCCTCGACCGTACAATGTGCCGGTGCTTGAGCCCGCGAGGTCGATTCTGAACGCCTTCGAGTTCTTCCCACATAAAGCCGCGCAGTCGTGCAAGACCGACTCAGATCTTCGGCGTCTGTGCAGCTCAGCAGCGTTCTCGGCGATTGCCAAGGCATAGCGCACCTGCGTACCATGGAAAGCATAAACCTCGTTGATGGATCCGTCGACAGGAGCAAAGGTACCTCGAGAGTCCGCAACGAAACTTCAGTGGCCACGGTGCTGGCATCTGTCCTTTGATCCTCATCTACACGAGCCGAGCTGCCGGTGTACTCGGAGGCCTTGTTCATGGTCTTAACGGGAGGGTCGAACTCTTCGACGCGACCGGGCCGCGAGGCCATGATTGCCTTTTTCTTGTTCTGGTAGCCTCGAAGGCCGGATCATTCGCAACAGCACATGCAACGGGCCTCTCTAGCCAAACCGGTGCCAAGTTCCAGATACAGTATCTCAGTATCTCCCTTGTGCCGAGGTTCGCTCCCACAGCTCCGAGGACTCGCAAAGAAGGCGGGCACAGCAAAAAGAGCAAGTGATGGCTACATGTTGTGCGATTCGCAGTGCTGGCTGTGTCAAAGTCCACTCCGACAATGGCAATATGAACATGCGCGCCTCCACGCGAATGACGCGCTGGACATTGAAAGACACTGGAAGTCCGGGATCTGCTCCGGGCCTCTGGGACTCCAGGAACCAAGAGAAGCCCTCACGTCACGGCCCTACAAGGAGCAGCTGAAGTGCTGCTCATCTCCGTGTTGGTCGAGGCACTGGTTGCAGGGGCAGCCTCCAGGTGTTTTGCCGCAAGTGCCCTTCGGGCATGGGCGGTCCTGCGTCGCTTTTGCGACCTGGGGTCCCAGAGCCACGAAGCAGATTTTTTGATGCCGTCCCGCCGTGCCGAGATGCATAGGATTCTTCAAACATCTCTTGGAAGCAGTGATGCTCGGAGTCCGGAGCATAAAACCTTGGCTGAGATGTTCAATTTGGGCACTGACTCTGACCTGAAGCTGCATCTCTCCCACATCATTTCACCACCCCAGACAACTTCCAGGGATGGCTCTCAGGCGCCCAAGCTTTGCCATTCAGTGTTCGCTGCAGCAGTGGGAATGTGTTGATAGATTTGGACCGAACATCACTCTTGCTTTCTCGTGGCGGTGCCAGATATTGCCACGACACGGACGAGAGTACTGTCAACCAACGGCATCACGACGGCAGCCGAGTTTCCACACACTGCTGGGGTGCAACGGGATCCTCCTGCCTAGCAAACCTACAAGGCGAGTCAGTAATTTTCCAGGCATGTGTAGTCACGCCAGGTGTACAGTTTAGGCCGATGGCAAGCAAAGAGGACGGATTCTTTGCCAAGATGCATGTCATCAAATCCGGGTGTCTGGTCTGCCGTCTTGTTGTGGTACCTCGGTTTCACGGAGCCGAAACCACCCAGGTCTTCTGCAACGACAGGCAGAACTTCGCACACCAGAGCTGAGTCAAGTTTTGCAGAAGCTTTTGCATGCATTGAGGTGCCAATACTCTGGGTAGCCATCGTCACCCGGATTTGATGCGAGGCTGGTCGATGTGGTTGTGGTAGCTGCCGGCTTCGAAGCCTGAAAGGCACAGAGAGGGTTCGAAGCAGGCTGCCGCCACGGAACCGAATGGGACCGCAAATCCGATCCAAGTAGCAGCTTCCACGACAGGGCTGGAGCTGGCGCATCCCATGGATACCACACAACTCGCTGCAAACAACAACAGAAAGTTAGCCGCTAGCCGCCTCCCAGAGCGCTGTTGTGTAAGCCATGCTGTTTGTTGGTTGTTGCATGTTTGGGCCCATGCTTTGCAGATGGCATGGCTTTGGAATTGGTTCACTCTCGGGACATCGAACAAGTATTGCCAGAGCTTCTTGAAGTTCGAAGGGGCTCGTTTCTTTTCGAGCTGGAGAAGCCAGGAAATGATACCTAGCTCGCAATGGCCGAGCCGTCAGCCTTTGTGACGCGCTGGGCCCCGCGATGTGACGTGTCTAGTCTGTGGCCCAAACCGAAGCAAAAGAACACTTTGGTACATGCAAAAGTCTTTCATGTGACAGGGCCCAGCTAGGCAGCTAGGCACTGTTGCAACCCTGGCGCATTTACGCCTAGGTTGCGGATTACAATCTCGGCGATTTAGGGCTTCGTTCGTGTGCCTGGCATAGGCGTGACGGCCAACAGAAGGTCTCTTGGAAATCGGGGTCTCCTCTTCATCGCTCGCCGAGGCTCCCTGGCTGGCGTGGCTGGCGCCGTCATCAGCTGGCCTCGAAAAAACCCAGGCAAAAATGACAATGCAAAAAACAACAACACTCCTTTCAACTTCGCGCAGCCTGCTTTCTTCGCCAGCCTCTGCTGCTGCCTGGGACAGTCGGAAAGGCAGGGGTTCTGGATGCCGCTCTTTCACTCGCTCAGCCGCAAGCATTGAGAACTGAGAAAATTTCGCCCACCCGGATGTGGCTGGCAGTGCTCTCTTGCTGAGGCCTCATTGGAGGAGGGACACACTGACCGCCTTTTAGGCATCTCACGCTTTGAATTGCAATTGGCGGCTAACTCCTAGATCCACGGGGTCGAATCTGATCTCTTCGGCCCCAGCCCCCCGTACGCGAATCGCAAGTTGCCTTGCCGTGCGACATTCCGGCACCAAGAACTGGAGAACGTTTGAAGCACCCAGGACGCCTGTTTTCCAACAGCCAAAACTGAGCTTAGAGCCGCTTCTCTCTAACGTTGAGTACTGCAGCCTTAACCAACCGAATCTGGCAAAGCACTGCAGCTCTTGCAGTACCGCATCTGACGTGGCACCCGAAGACCCCAAGGCCAGGACGTGTCGGGCATACACCCTACCTCAAGACATGTTCCAGGATTCCAGGGTTTGCCTCAAGGGCCATCCTTCTGCAGGTGCTGTGAGGCCATGGCTGTGCCGTCTTGGAGGAACTTGAGGAAACTCTTTTTGGTTAGGATCCCTCGCAGCAGATCCTGCCAGCGAGGCTGTGGGAGCGAACCAGCATCCAATGGGCCCGGGTGCATTCGAAGGCTCCTGCTGGCCCCCGGGAACAGAACCCACGATGAAGATTCTCTGGCAGCCAAGCCTTTCAGATTCAGCTCTGACGCAGCCGAGTCCGAGAAGTATGTGGGTCCCTCGCTGCTTGAAGACTTGGTGTGCTTGAGTCAGCGGGGCGTCGGGCACCATGCGCATGACCTGCACGCGAGTGATCCATTCCATGCAGCATCAGCCACCCCAGATCAACCCAGAGACCGGGGCCGTAGAGTCGATGACGGAACCCAAATCCTCCAGAGTCACCACCTGTCTTAGCTGAGATTTTTCTCTTTAGGAGAGCTGACACACCTTTAAAGGCACGGAAGGCTGTGGGCCATGCTGTGCCTCGTTCTGGCCTCGGACGAGCTCCATTCGCGAGAGCCAGTCCTCCAACCTTTAAGCACAAAAAAGAGAGCACGACAACAACTAACAACAGAGCACCATGCTGCCCATGCAACGCTCTTGCTCAGGATGTGTTTTGGCTGTTGGCTGTAGCCGATCGTGTTAGAGATCTTGCTCCCTTGAGCCGTCGACGCTGATCGACGGGTGTAGCCAACCTCCGCACAGCTGCAAGATCAACGACTTGGCCAACGCTCGGAGCCATGATGCTCTGGGTACTTCTTATCTGAGAGGATGGCAAAACGATCGCCATCAACCACCGGAAAGCCACGGAACGTGAATGCCCGGACCATTACACGGATGTCCTTAGCAACGCGGCATAAACTGCATGTTACAGATTATAGGACCTGTTTCTGCTCAAAAACACGCAGTGAAAACCTGTGGTTAACTCCAGCAGAGCTACAAGGAAACGGGGGCGAAGCTTCACGTCGAGCTTCACTAAGCCTGGTCAACTGCGCTCAATCTCAAAACGTCCCTTCGAGATTGCTCGGCTTTTACGTAACGGCCTGTCTCCATGATATCACAACACCGCTCCGTGAAGGTTACATCCAACCTCATCGCCGCGTGTTCCGGACATTGTCCCGTTCCCCCCTGCGAGCTCGTCGTTCCGCTTGGGCTCAGGCTCTTCATGCAGAAAGGGATAACCCTTCAAAACGATCTGCAGGTCGTAAATGCCTGCCAGTGTTTCAAGAAAGGCCCCATCACGCTCGCAGGATCTCGCAGGCAAGCCATTGCACTCAATTAAGATTTGCTTTGTTGCGGGTTCGCCCATAAGTCAGAAAGCTTCGAGGCTGATGGAAGAGAGCAACAAAGAAGTGTGTGAGCCAGAATCCTGTGCAGATTCAGGTTCAGGTTCACAGATGTTAAGAGTGCAGAAGTTGCAGGGCATTGTGGAGCCACTGCCGATAATCGGTACTTCATATTGCGACTTGGCCGGCCTGCCTTCGTTCAACGAGTCGCCAACAGCTTTGGCCAGCAACACAGAAATCATGAAAGGCACCACGTAGTCCAAGCCTGCAGGACCGAAGAGCTGCAAAGTTGTGGCGGCGATGAAACAAGCGTACCTCCGGTCAGCTCCAGCATAATCACGACCAGAGATATCGTCCTGGGACGTGAAGAACAAAGGAATCCAAGCAGCTTGCCTTAGCCTTCACCTTGAACGCATCGCAACGTAGGCCCCTGGCATGCGGCTGACTCCTCCAAGGACCGAGGCCGCGCCCACCATGGAGTAGACCTGGAAGGCACAGCTGAAGGCCCTGGATGCCGCGCAGGTCTGGGAATCTGAGAAGCGAGCGCCAGGATCGACCTTGTTTGGAAACCTGATTGTGAGCCCCACTTCTACGTGATGCATCTGCCGCGCGCATGGAGACGCCTCTAGAAGTACTGCAAACCTCCGGGATTGCGGGCAGTCGTTGACAGTTGAGGCTCTCGCAATCGGGTGCCTGCGTTCAGTGCTTTTAGACCCAGCGCGAGGCACCGCCTTGGAGGCGGCACGGTCAGGGCATCCGTCTGATTCGAGAGATTCAGGCTCGGACCCCAAACATGCGCCGACGAAGAGGGACGGGACGAAAAGTCCAGCTGGGCAGGCCTGGGTTTCCGCCGTATGGTCCGCAATCTGTGAAAGCTTTCTTCATGTGCGAAGGACATGTCAGAGAAACGAGGCAGATACCGAGCCAATGGTGAAGACCATCTGGCCTGAGACTGAGCATCTCCGTCCAGTGCTCCGCAAGCATCTTCCGGATCGTTTGCGGAGCTTGGGCCGCCACAGAACCGGAGCGCAGCTGCCAGGCCGAGGGAGGTCAGCAGGCCGTTGCCAGAGGACTGCATGGCGGAGCGCGGCGCGTTGCTCACATGTGATACGAGTACCCCCATAGAGCTTTTTCCTGAGGTCCGGGCATTGCTGTACCCGTCCTCTGTGCAAAGTCCAAACTCGGCTTGCAACCTCGTGGCAATGGGTCAATGGGCCGACTCCCCACTGCAGCGGAGCCCCACTCTCCCCGGACGTGGCAGAGCCCGCTGGCCTGCTGCGCACCGTCTCGCCGGGCTCGTCGCTGCACGTGTCAAAGAGAGCATGAATTGTTGGGGCCTTCGAGCGCAGCTTCTGCAGAGTCGTGGCTCGCAACTGACACAACTTGTGTTTCCTTTGCTGACATGCCGAAGCACTGAGCACGAGGCCATGAGGTATCGCGTCAGGCTCAGCGGCCAGGACGAAACAAGCGTTACGAACGCGAGCAAGGAGGCCTTGCCAGCTCGGCACAGCGGAAATGCACCGTTGACAATGCCGACGGCCGCTGGCTAGAATAAGCCTCTTTCTTCGGGTATCCCAGGCCTCCTGCACCGGCCCCAACCATCGCTTGAATGCAGGTTTTGCCTTGAAAGCACACCACCTGGCACTCGGAAGGTTAATTATGGGACGCAGCTCATGCTTGCGCGTAGGCTGCAGATTCCACGAACATGTCGGACTTGTTCATGCGGCGATGTGGCTAGACTACTACTTGTAGTGATTGAAGTAGCACCTGAAGCTGCAAAGGAGCGTGTAGGCATCTCGGCCTGATATTCAATGCGTTAAAGAGGGCGCCGACCTCAGGCTATCACAGAGAGGCACTGAAAGAGACAGGGACCTAGAGCAGAGCTTCACAGACAGCGGCCAGACCACCGGCAACACCGAGCACGGCAAACATGACCTGCGAGCGCATCGGCCGTGAAAACAAGCTCTTCATAGCTCTTCTCTTGGAAGTATACAGTATAAGATATGAAGCACATCCTGGCATCTGGGTCTCAGGATCTGGCGTAATCGCTGGGATGCAGCGTCATCGTATAGCGCCTGCAGCACAACGACTCGGTGCTTGTACGATTTTGTTGCATGCCAACCACCGGAGAAGCCAAGTCATGAACACACTGTACAATGTCAGATGCCCTGTGCCCGTCAAGTCAGACACGGAGAGTAGAAGAGTCGCCACAACCTTAGGCCAAGGCATGCCAAGGCAGCGTGCCCAGCTTGCACTTCCAAAGATGCATCGCTGACCTCATCTGAGTCCGCCGGCGGATGAAACGAATGCCATGAGCAATGTTCTCGACGGAAAATTGGAGCTGACCTGCGAAGTGCTGGCAATCAACGTGCAGAGGTATGTTGAGAGACTGAATCACCGTGCACATGCGCCAGCCAAGGCAACAAGAGGAGCGCAAGCTTTGTTGAAATCCACATGCCACCGTTGTCACCATCAAGAAGAACCCATCCTGGTGCACTGCAGCATGAGTGTCCGCACGATCTGAGAGCGTCCTTAGCCTTGGCTGCTAGTCTCATTCATGTTGCAGCGACAGGTTGTGAGCACGACACCTGTATTCCAGGACGTGCATGGTGCTTTCCACAGCACATAGCAACCGAGACAAGCCTTCGACTTGTACTTTCTGTGCATGGAGGGTTCATTCAGAAGCATTGTGCATGCAAGTAAAAAAATTGCGGCACAAGTACAGGCATTGCTCTTGGGATGTCGCTGAGGAAGCCAACTTCCTTGGGAAGGTTGTCCGCCATTGTCAGCGTCACCTACCTGTTTCCTCTATTCCTCATCTGCATGTCACGGACATGTCGTGTCTTGCGATGTAGCGATTCTGTCCTTCGTGTCATGTGAAATGGTGGGTGCAAGACTTCCCTGCTCACGATGCTCACGAGGAAACAGGCTGCGGAACCCAAAAGCGATGTCGGTACTCGACGTTCCGGGGTGTAAGTTTGTGCATCGTAGCCGGAGAAATGTGGATATACTAGATAATCTGATCGTACGAGTATCACATGGTAAGACATGGCTGTGTGGGCACTAGGAGATTCGGCTGGCACCGACAGATTCAGCGAAAGGTCCCTTGGCAGTGCCGATGTTTCGGCCGTTCACTGCACAGGGCATGTCTTGCAGGTCCTACAAGGTGTGCAGGGCACATTGCAGCCGTCCAAGGTGATGTTGGGCACTGCCTTGGCTCGTGTTTGCGTGCTCTGCACAGGCCCTGTTTTTCCACCGTTAAATCAAGGAGCGCCCAGAGTGTCGAGGACCGGGAACTGATCGGTGATGTCCTGCCCAGGCCCAAGTCTCCACAGCTCAAGTCAGACACCAAGCAACTCCGAGTGCCTGCAGAGACGAGTGGTCCGCCACTCCCACGGGCAAAACTGAGGCCAGGAGCTCCGAGATGAATTCCGCTACGTCTTTTCCTCTGCGATCGGTTCTGTCAGATTTGCATGTTGCGGCATCCGTGTCGGATCTCTGACATGTCTATCCCCTTCACCGGATGATGCCGTTCACTTGTCATTTCTAACGAACCATGCTCACTGTGACGTTGGATATTTCTAAACTTGAAATGTCTGAGCCTCGCTGCCAAGATGCCTTCCAGATGCCAAGACCACTTGCTGGAAGGGATGAACTCGAGCCGCGAACCGGGCATGATCTGCTGCAGCCTCTGCATGGCCTCCCCCACCACCACCAAGGGGGCTTGATCGCTGGCGGCCAGCACGACAGGCGGAGACTGCAACGGCCATTCTTGCATCGAAGCAAACGTCGGTGTGAGCTTGGCAAAATTCCAGGAAGGCTGCAAACGTGCCAGGTCCCAGAAGTTGTCTGAAGCACTGTCCAAGGCGTTCTTGTAGTTAGCCTTTATTTCCTCCATGCCCTCTGCTCCACCAGTAGGGTAGGTAAAGTCGGACAGTAAAGGCAGGATTTTGTCATAGTCACGACTGCCGTATGTCTCGCCTAGAAATGCCATCCTCTTCTTGATTTTCTGTGCCAGCTCGGTTTCGTCGAAGTCAGGTGCCTTGAACAAATGCACATTGATGATCAAGGCACCTTGCAAAAACGGCCGAAGCTCCCATGTCAGGAAGGTGCCAGGGCCGAATGAGCTGTCGACTAGTACGAAGCTGTCACCCAGCTGTGGCAGCAAGCCATGGACAACAGCAAGCAAGTCATCCTGGAAAACGCGTGGATTGTCGTCCTCCAGCAACGCGGGCTTCACGCTGTCCTCGTTAATGGCCCAAATCTTCACAAATTCTCTGCTGGCCCACTCTGCCAGGTGCGGCAACTGAAGCGACCATGGGATAAAGCGCGGAAGGCCAACATATAAAACATGTGCAACTGGGGTAAGATCTGGTTGAATGACACAAACCTTCCTATCTTCTCCGTTCACCTGCACGTCAATGTCGAAAGATGTAGCAATGGCGCGGGACGGGAGAATGCTCTCCAACAGTGAGGACACTTCATTCGTGACATCTTCCCCTTCCAGATGCCAAGACCACTTGCTGGACGGGATGAACTCGAGCCGCGAACCGGGCATGATCTGCTGCAGCCTCTGCATGGCCTCCCCCACCACCACCAAGGGGGCTTGATCGCTGGCGGCCAGCACGACAGGCGGAGACTGCAACGGCCATTCTTGCATCGAAGCAAACGTCGGTGTGAGCTTGGCAAAATTCCAGGAAGGCTGCAAACGTGCCAGGTCCCAGAAGTTGTCTGAAGCACTGTCCAAGGCGTTCTTGTAGTTAGCCTTTATTTCCTCCATGCCCTCTGCTCCACCAGTAGGGTAGGTAAAGTCGGACAGTAAAGGCAGGATTTTGTCATAGTCACGACTGCCGTATGTCTCGCCTAGAAATGCCATCCTCGTCTTGATTTTCTGTGCCAGCTCGGTTTCGTCGAAGTCAGGTGCCTTGAACAAATGCACATTGATGATCAAGGCACCTTGCAAAAACGGCCGAAGCTCCCATGTCAGGAAGGTGCCAGGGCCGAATGAGCTGTCGACTAGTACGAAGCTGTCACCCAGCTGTGGCAGCAAGCCATGGACAACAGCAAGCAAGTCATCCTGGAAAACGCGTGGATTGTCGTCCTCCAGCAACGCGGGCTTCACGCTGTCCTCGTTAATGGCGAGGATCTTGAAGCCTTCGGCACATGCCCAGCTCTCCAGGACTGGCTCCTGCAAGGACCAAGGAATGAATCGAGGGATGCCGATGTAAAGCAACGTTGCAACGGGCTTCCACATGGGCCGAATCAAGTGTACAGGGCGTGTCTCATCACCCAGATCCACGTCAATAATGGTGTTGCTGACAGCAAATCTTCCATGTCGGCGAAAGCCTCAAGCTGCAACGCGACATCATCATGTGTTGTAGCTGGTAGTCAGTTGAAGTCTCTGCCAGATTCCAAGTGTAAATTAACCAAAGTCGCAAACACCAAATGGGCTGCACTTGGAGTGCAACAAGAGCCTTGCAGATTTGCCTCCAAGCGTCTTACCTCCGCCTTCGATTTTTCGATCAGGTCGGGGTACTCGACTTTCTTCCTTGGGCGGTGTTGCAGCACGCAGACATGCAATCAGCTTTTGCACGTGGGGCATGTAGCCTAGAGAGTCCGTGCTTCTCAAGCAATGCGAAGAGCAGGAGCATGCATGGCTTTATTGCGGTGGGCCACGCTGCAATCAAATCCATCATCGGCTGGTAAGGCCCCCCATTTACGGCAACCAGGGCCCAGGACTCCATTCGATTCATGACGCTCAGGCCAGCCTCAGTCCAGTTTGCGAAAGCCAACTTAACTCCTGTTGTGCCGAATCCTTCATCGCCCTACAAGTCGAGAGCTCACCAGGAAAATGACAACCTGCCGTGCTTCATCACATCTCTTCAATGTACTGGTGGACCGCTTCATCTGCAGACTCCACTTCCAAGGCTGCTTGCATCTCTGCCAAATCGATCCAAGTGGCCCGATTCCTTGTTTCAATATCCCGAAAGCATGTCCACCAAAAGCACAAGCACACCCGCCGTTCACAGCTTTGTTTTGCACTGTGGTGCCGGCAGTCCGGTCATGAAAAAACTCTGCTAGCTTCTGTTAAGGTACTTTCTTCGCAGGTGCTTGGCATCGTCCGCGAGGAGCTGCAGCAATCTCACCGTGATCTCGTCAGCGTACAACGGAATGACATGCGCCGGGGTGTTGCCAAGCCGATCTCGTGCTCCTGAAGCGTACAGAGCAAGAGACGACAAAAGCTCGGTATCTTTATCCTTACTTTCGAGTTGAAGGATTTGCAGGGACAACAACTGCAGGTCTGATGGGACACTGACTTTCCACAGCGTCCTCGCTTGGCGGCACTGTCGAGGAGTAGCTGCACCACTTCAACGTTTCGAAACCTGCCGCTTTTTGAACAGCGTACAGCAGGGAGCAGAAGCGGAAGGCCCTTGCCTGGCGGCATTGTGAAGTGGAGTATAACCCCGCCCGTCTTGAATGCTGAGGTCCGCTTGCCTTAGACGCACGGTGATGTTGTCTGCAAGCTCGAGAAACGGAGGCCAACTTGCATCACCGAGTGGCTCGGCTAGCATTTCCGCGCAGTCCTCGACAGATAGGTTGCGGACGGTCATTGCGAGGGCCAGCGAGACGCGCTGTCTCAGCTGGGTCAACAATGAAAAAACCAAATCCACGTCCTCAGATCAGGTGTGTCAAAGGCAGGTGTTCTGCAGTGAAACATCCGGCACTTTGCTTTTCGACGGTGAGCCCTCGCACTAATTATCGAGCATTCGGCTCGTAGCATTGCTACATGCGACAGTAAGACACAAGAGCCCATTGACAGCGAAGACTCATTAGGTCTCGACAGCACGCAACAAGCAAAGATGACCCAAGGAAGCCCATACGCGTTGCACGGTAATCTCAAATATCTTACACCATGTGATGATGCGTTCTTCTGCTGTAGTATACATGCATGAGACGCAATACTACATGCAGCCATATGTGTAGACCCGTACATACATGCATACATGCACACATACGTCCATGCATGTAGGTATGTCTGTGGATGTTTTATATGAGGGTTTGAAGTTTGGGCCTTCAAGATGCCGGCAAGCCAATATCACGACGACGCAACGCACTTCCTACTCGAGAAGATCGAGAGCGTCGGCGTGGGGGGGGGGGGGGGCTAATCCTTCTGCTCCACTCGCTCCGACCGTTCCACTCGTTCCACTCGTTCCAGTCGCTCCACCGTTCCACTCGCTGCACTCGCCCTGCACACTCATTCCTTTCGTCTATAGAGCGAGTGGCGAGTGGCTCGAGTGGCGTGGGCGACTTAATTCAAGCGTGCGCTGCTTGTGTGGGGCTGAGCTGCCGGAGGGTTGGACCCGGAATATTTAAGGTCTCGGGTTTGGGGGCTAGGGCTTCGGGTTAGGGTTTGGAGCCGCTGCGAGGTTTAAGTTCAGGGTGAAAACAGGGTCTGGGGGGAGATGGGGTGATGGTTTGGGATGCAAGGCTTAGGGTTTAGGGAAATGCAGTATATGATGATGATTATTATTACTATCGTTAGTATGATTATTACAATTATTATTATTACTACTGTTACTTTATTATTATTCTTCTTCTTCTTATTATTATTAATTATTATTATTATTATTATTGTTATTATTATTGTTATTTTATTATTATTATTATGATTAATATTAGTGTTATTATTATATATATATATATATATAGCAAGCCTGTGACATAATGCAATGTACAATATAACATCATCCAGTCTAATCTAAACCCGAAGCCTCTAACCCCAAGCCCTCATTAGGCACTAAGCCCCAAACCCAAAGCCCTAAACCCGAAGCCCTGCCGGAAAACTGAATCAAGCCCTAAATCCCGAATCGCGAGCCGTTGTTAAGGGATGTTTAGGGTTTAGTCTTTACGGTTTTGGGATGTTGAGGGTCCGGTCTTGAATTAAGGGGCCAGCCGCTGCACGGTCTATTCGTGCCACTCGCTCCACTCGCCCCTGTACGTCACCTTTTCCACTCATTCCCTTCGCCCGCAGAGCGAGTGGCGAGTGTCGCGGCGACTTCAATTCCTCGCCCCCCTGCCTTGCGCGGTTGCAGATTTGGGGGCGGCCATGAATCAGTCTGTTCCAATCGTTCCTCTCGCCCTGTACCTTATACTCGTTCCACTCGTTCCTGTTGCCTAGCACTAGCGCGAGTAGCGCGAGTGGCGCGAGTGGGGCGAGTTCTCCCCCCATGCGGTCGCAATGAGGAGATCCCAGAACTGGGCAAAGTCTAGAATAGTGACTTCTCTACATGTTTGCACCGCCTCTTCGGAAGCCCTGACCCTGAATTGTGGTCCAGGATGCCGTCGCCGTGTTTTTGGTTGATGCCTTCTTCTTATCCAATGATGTAGCAGAAAAGGTCTTCTGCTTGATCTCCTCGATGTAATCTTCGAACTGCGCCTTGGACACATAATTAACACCCAAGAAATCGCAACAATCACGACGGCACTGACTGCTTGGCGCTACTTGCAGCACAAGGCTCCTGTAAAGCCTTGTTGCTTTGGGCAGCACACTGGCGCAATTTCTGTGCCCTAGCGAGGATCGACCTGAGCTCCACGATGAGAATCAAATGCGGAGTCCACGCGAAGCACTCCTCAATGCTCCTTGCAGTCCGAGTCACTCCTTCAAGTCCGGCGCATTTGCGTAGACGGTACGAGCCTCGGCTGACATGCTTGAACGAGCCGGAGGGCTGCAGAGCCAGCAAACCCTTCTGGTCCAAGGCTGCTGCCGCATATTGTTCATCTGTCAGGGCCACACGGATTGTGGAAACGAGTCGCTCGAAGTAAATCCAACCTCTCAGAGTCCAAAAGACAAGAACGGAGTGGCACAGACTCGAGCAGTCCGCTGCCTCGTTCGCCTGCCGGGACTGCGTTGCGCTTCCCCATTGGGGAAGGCTGCACGATGAACCTCGGGATGGACGTCTGGGGCGGGCAGGTCCGGGTCCGAGTCCTCTTCGGTAGCTTTGCGTGGCTCTGTCAAGCCCGAGCTGCACTGGGTCCGTCTCGGCCTCCGCTTCCGACTTCGGCCTCATCTTGTGGAGGCGAAGTCGTCTGCAGGGCAAGCAGCCGCCTGAGGGTGCTCTTGATGCATACTGCATCTTTATTAGCAAACTCATGCTCCCTGCATCTGCTGCCGTCTACTGCTACCGTTCCTCCTTTCCCTCGCTTCAACTTGTAGACATCGTCGATGCTCTTGATGTCGCCCAAGGAGGGGTCGCTGCGAATGGTGAAGACTGGCAATTCTGCCACGCTGCCATCCTGTCGTCTCATCCCTAAACTTTAAACCCATCTTGAATCAATCGTACCTCGTACTGTGTTTGAGAAGCTAATGATTGGTGAGCCAGTAGTGAACGTGTCATATGCATGTCCCAAAGGTTGCAACATTCACTGTAAAGCAAAGATCGCGTCTCGGTACCCAAGATTTGCGGCTTCAGCCATGCTGCGTTGGCCGGGTATTCGTCGTACATCATCACGGCCGACCCATGCTGCTTCAGCTTCATGCGGTTCAGCTCTGACATGCTGACCTGCAACGTCGCTTGTACAACAAAACGTATCCGAAGCTGTGATTTCGCCTAAAGCGGACCACGGAAATACGAGGCTCCCCAAAGTGCCTTTCTTGTCTGCCCCTCACACTCCAGCTCTGGCCAATTCCCTTCCACATGCAGCACTGCATCGGCTGTGAAGAAGACCTGAGGCGATGTCTGCACCACGCTGCAGATGCAAGAGCGTGAGAATCGGAGCAGCTGAAAGCCCGCCTCTGGCAAGGCATCGATGGCTTTTAGAAAGTCTGCCTGCTCTTGAGGACTTCGCTCAGTTTGTCCTGGCTGGAATGGATTTTGGCTCATGCCTTGGCAAGCAAGGATTTCTGTGCCCAAAAGTCTGGGCCACAAAAGGCTCATGCTTGCAACATCATACTCTCTTCCTTGCTGCTGCAATCCAGTTGCTCATGAAATCATAAAATAGCATCCTTGGACATCTGCAATTGAGCTGACTTGTTAGGCATCCACTTCCATAAATGCACGTTCCACCCCAAAGTGCCAGACGGCTCAGGGACCTGCCACCTGCCACGGGACTTTCTCATTCCAAGCAAAGTGGCGCATCGCCTTTGATCTGGTGATCCTTCAGAGCCTGCGGACGTGTCGCACCGTGTCACTTCAGCGCACTTCACTCTGCTTTTTTAGCATCGGGCCGCGAGCCTCTTCAGTGAGCTGCTTGATGGTTTCGGCTTTGCGTCCTTGGCCGGTGGCTTCGTTTTGCTTTGCGGCTTGACGGCTCGGATCGGAGGTCTTGCCTTGGAACCTTTGCATGCGGAGGCTCGGAGGCTCGACTGGTGGTGGCCCGGCTAACGCTTCGTCCAGAACCCTGGGGCCCTGGGCCTTTAGCCGCGTAACCCCAACATGCTTCGACTGGCCTGCTCGAGTGACAAGTTTGTGGTTTAGGTGGTAAATTTCGGGGTTGCGAGGCACCCAAACTACAAAAACCACTTTGCTGGTAACTTGAAGCTTTCCTTCGTGAATGCTCATGCTCGGCACTCCCATGGTTTCCAAGCCTGTTTGTGCGGTCACAAGTAGGCTCGAAGCTGCCGCTAAAGCGTTGTCCTCGACTTTGTAACCCTTGACCGTGCGATCTGTGTGCGATCTGAGTAACCCAGCGGATCCGGATGTAGCTGGTGCGACCAGGCATGCGAAACGGCAAGCACCAGATCATCTCGAGTAGGCGTCTTTCCTCGGAAGCCGCGGCCCGCGCCAACTGCGGGGCAAGGACAGTGCACCCGAGCTTTCTGTTGCTGACTTTAGCACAGCAACTCTCAGCACCAAGGTGTCGAACCAATTCCTGACCTGAGACGCACTGTCGCGACGACTCACAGGCGGCCATAAATGATTACCCATGAGTACCGTTCTGTCGTCTCATCACGCGTCTCAGCTACTTTTGGGGACGATGGTTGTGTAGTCGTGTGCTGCGGTTGCCATAAGCCATCTGTGTGACTTGAATTCACGGTCCAGTGCAATAGATTCCGGAGGTGAGGATGGTCCAGCACAGTCCGAAAGTCAGTGGTTGGCTCAACAAGCCAGCGAGTGAGGGAAAGAGCGTGCTTAGTAGCTGCTTTCTGGATCTGATTTTAGCGCAGAACTCAGTATCATGGAACGTGTGCCATGTCCGTGCTGTCTCACCATTTAAGTGCCACATACAAGGACCAGACATCTTGGCCAGGGTGTTGGCAGATCCTTCACGACGTGAACGGGCCTCATCTAGTTGACAGCGAAACTGAATGAGGAGTGATAGAAGGCAGGCATGCATGGCACTCACTGCATGCCCGGTAGCGTGAAGTTTACTATCGATTCCAAGCCTTCCTTGCAGAGAACCTCAGGACATCTTGTGCATGTGTTGAAGCGAGCCTTGACTACAGTATGACTAGGAGAGAAACTCAGTCGAGGAACCGTCGCATGCCTCAGATCCTCGGAAGACTGCTGATTCAGGCTTGGCCTTTTGGTTGCCATGTGGGTGAAACAGGCCCTGCATGGGAAAAGTCAAAGTGATACGCTTCGGAAGTGCTGTTTGTTGCTGCTTTGCATTGTGCCAAACACCGGAACTTCATGAACTTAGCTTGTTGAATGTATGCTCCTACCGTGCTTGCAGACCCAGCATCGGTGGCTTGAGCCGCATGCAGAATGTAGCACAGTGCAACAGCTACCTCTGCCGGTGAGGACACGTCCGGGAAGCACATTGCCCACGCGCCCTGTGTTTGCCCAACCGGCTTCGACGACAGTTGGCTGCAACTAATTGATTTGACGGCCGTCGTCGGTCTTCAGCACATGTACGCTTCGTGCATGACAACATCGGTCCGAGCCGAAGACATGTTTCTGATCCGCTCCCAGAGCTGAATCCAAGCAAGCTAAGGTCCGACATTGCCAAGAACCAGCTCCACATGTCTTGACCCAAATGGCGTCGGCACAAGTCACCACTGCACCGCAGCTCCATGCTCGACATATGGCGGCGTACCTCCTCGAGGCTGAAAAGCACGCCGCCAACCGGTGTTCCAAAAGCAGAGCTGACCTAGGAGGAACGTGGAACAGCCTGCAAATGTCAAGAATGTCAAGGCTCCGAGTAGCATGTCAGGTGTGTCCAAAACATCGGCTGGCAAGAGATTGAAGGACTGAAGTTGGCAAGAGGGAGACCTTCGGAGTAGCCGGACAAAATCGGGGGAAGGCCAGAAGATCTTGCGCCATCCAAACACATCTGCGTATCTTAAGCCCTGCAAGGCAGCAATACCACAAGATACTGTGAGTCCAGTGCCCCCGCAGCCACGGCCGCTGAAAAGAGTTGCTGCCTGACACATGGTGGAGCAAGTGTAGGCTTCAATAAATATGGATTCGCTGTTGAAATTACGACAACACCTCAGCAACTCAAGGTAATGTCATGGTCAATGTACGCACATTGCCCGAGTTTGGCGATCTTAAGTTTGCAGTCCAGTGCAGGGCCTGACCGCTAGCAAGCTCCACACGCTCATGCTGCAGAGATGAAGGTTGGACAGAACCATGCTCTGGGTGCCTCTTGCCCTCATTCCGGAATTGTGGAAAGAGGCGTGACCTTAAAAGACAGCTACCAGCCAAGGGAATATCAATTCCAGTAACACCGTATGTCTGAGAATCATACAAAATGCTGGCCCAGCAAACTGCCACGTGCACCATCGGGCCTCCGAAGAAAAGTCAACAGCCAGGTGCTGTAGTACACACAGATTCCCCTACACGAACTCAGCTGGGCGCCCTCATGTCCGAGGGACAACCCAGATGCCACTGCCAAAATCAAGCAGGGCACCTGCAACTGTGATCGACAAACCTCACACCTGAGCTCATATCCGCAATTCCTGAAACGCCTTGATGAAAAGAGTGCGGAACGTAGCTACCTCGTCAGTAAGACATCTGTGCTCCAAATCAACGCCAAAACTAATGCCTCGGGGTCGCTCCGACACTTGGGTCGTGAGCTTTGGCTTTGGGGCATTTCTTCATGTGATGCGCAGGCCACGTGCCATTTAAGGTGCTGATTGACTGCTGGGTTCTGAGATTCCTGCATCTGGCAGTACGAAGCCGTTGAGAATCGTCTTCACCTGTGACCCCTTGACTTGGTATGTTCTGCTGCTGGCAATCGTGACAAACCGCATCCCACCTCCGGAATGCCAGATCCACTAGCGGAAGGTGCGAAACGGCTTACGATGAAAGCCTGTCGGAAATTGACGCCCTTTCAGAACCACTCGGTTGTTGAACCCACTGAAACCAAGGGCTCGGCAGATGCCGCTGCCATCCAGGTGCCTCGGCACTTCGCAGCCCCTACATCTGCACAAAATCCGCAGCCATCCCATCAAGGCTGATGCCCAAGCAAACGGAGGCGCTGAATCCAATAATGTTGGCACCCCAGGAGGCCTAAGCTGACTGTGAGTCAATGCAGTTCCATTCTCGATTGCGATCAAACGCAGCGATGAGATTCTGGCCCACTGCCCCTTTGGACAATGCTCTTCACTCCTGCCGTCTAGAACACCAAGAGTCAAGAGGGATGGCTGCAGTGGCAACAACCGGCTTCAGGAAGTGGTAATACGAACATGCGAAGGCGCCTGAAAGGTTCGGCACTGCAGAAGCCAAACCGAAAAGAGGACAGGGCTCCGACCTGTGCGAGAAGTATGAACAAGGGAAATCCAGACTGCGCAGCTTTTCGCAACAGAGGTGTCTACAGAGATTTCGATGACGCCGTATGTCGCAAAGCACAAGGCTCCGACACCTCGAACATCCAGCAAAGCAAGTTCTACGGAATTTTTCAAGTGGTACACTCAGGCTGGATAGGGACACTGCTCGCTGCAAGGAGCCAGTTCTGAATGGCCTGAGAATTTGAGGGATGAAACGGAAGGCTTCACCTGTTTCCACCATGCAGCCTACTCAACGCAATGCTGAAACAAAGAACACTCCGCCTGCCAGTGGGTGAGCTTCAGGATGCTCAAGCTTACCCTATGGGGTTTGGTTTCGGGAATCACAGACCAACTGCGCGGCACATGGGTGGTCCACGGAATGGGCTTAAGTAGGTAAGTAGGGGCTCTGCCCAGCACCAACTCAAACAGCAGCCATGCGCCTGACAGGCTCATGAGACGCAGCATGGCAGCTGCAGTTCGCGCTGCAGTTCGCACGGACACGTCGGCAAGCGGAACGGCAAACGGAACCTGCTGCTGCGCAATGAGATTTCGCTCCTCCTCATGCAGCTCGACCTATTTCGAAGAAGCGTGCGCAGACCGTGTGTGCAGATCGCTGGTGTGCAGTCCGGAGGTCTGGGAGGGGCTGTTGAAAGCCTTGGGCGCGGGCGGTCCGAACGGTCTCCCAAGAAGGCTGCAGCTGTTGCCGCCTCCACCTGGCAAAATCTGTCTGGATGTTGTAGCAGTATGTACCGTAGCAGACCCAATAGAATCAACGTCTGCCGCATGACGGTGTCTGCAAACTCTTCACCAAGCGCTTCCGCCATACTTTGGAGCTCCTTCGACAACCTGGGTCTGCAAGCATTCGCCGAGATTTCGCCAGCGCGGAAAGCAAGCCCGGAAAGGGGCCAGACGGTCGGTGGCCGCAGCTGAAGCCCCCAAGATAGAATCCTGAGTCATGAACACCGTTTCAATTAAAGCTGCGAGCTGTAACAGAAATCCCAGCCTTGGTGAAATGCTCATGTTCGCCTGCAGTCACAGGGCATTCGCAATTGACAGCGATGCAAATGGACCGGGCAGCCCAACTGCTCTTTCCCAGCTTGGTTGGCGTGAACCTGCGCAGTTGCGCAGCTTTGCATCTTCGCTTCGATCAGGGATTAAAGTGAATAGGCACAAGGCTGATGAAGTGACAGGGCGCCAGGGCTCACCTGATTTCACTCGAATGTGAGTTTCAGCTTCCCGCAAAGACAAGGACGTGACCAGTCTACATGGTGTGCCTCTGGGCTCACATCCGGTGAGCTTTCGGGGGCAGCCATCGAACGCCAATCAGCATAGGTTTGTTGTGGAGTCACACAGCTTAGCACAGTTGAAAAACACCGGCGCGATGTTACTTGCGGCACCTGCAGAGCCTACATCCTTTCGCGAATATGCTGGGATTCGCCTACTCGGCTCTCCGTTTTGGTGGCTTCGAGCCAGCGTGCAAGGCACCGACAGCTTCTGTTCCACCTAGATTATGCCGTTATACCCGGCAAGATCCAACTGCTGCGCAGCTTTCGGCCTATCTTTTGCAGACGCACCTTCTCAGCTGCAGCACACCATTGCGATTGCACGCATGCTGCTTCATGATTGTTCGGCTCGGAATCTGCAGGGGTTCCCAGTCGCGACGACTATCTCTCACTTTAGGCAGTCTCGGGTGAAGCTTGATGCGCCTCCTGTCAGCGAGAGGACATCATCGAGTGCAGAAGACGAAGTTTTTGCATTCTTGCCTGTGCTCGCTTGCGCATCAACAGGCTGATCAAGTCCGCCATTGGCTCCAGCCTGTGCCAAATGAAGCCGCACCGGGAATCACCCCAACTGGCCGAGGCTCTGACTCCGAGTCTTCTACCAAGTCAAACTCCTTTACGAAGTACACGAAATGTTTGAAGGAGTGGTTCCTCTGCGAAGCACAAGGTGTGCCCAGCATGAAGGGATGTCGTACAGGTATCATGCTGATGGTCCGAGGCAGCGGCAAGTGAGCATCAGCATCGCACTCTGCCAACTCCTGGGTCTTCTAGCTTTCTGACCAGAAATGTATTGACCGACCGTGGTAGCCCCAGCCGCCTTGAAGTGGTGGTGGAAAACATGTGCATAGATTCGGAACAAGCGCTTGTACATCACCTTGATCCCCTGCGCGTATGCTGCTCATGCCAGCTGCAATGTTTGCTTGACTGAAGCACTTGCCTTCTTGAAGTGGGGCGGGAACGGTGTCCCAGGCTTGACAGGCAGAAACGTCCTGGTGAAAACGTGCTTCGGGAGGTAATCGAACAACTTTGTTTGAATCCGTACTGGCAGACGGAAGTAGGGCTGTGCTCAACACTGGCCACCCAGGAAAAAAACAAGCGTCACTTCAACACACAAGCCACTCCAGGGTGCCATCTTGTTCTGGGTTCGGTGAATGCTTACAAAAAAAGCACCTGCAAGTCAACGTCAGAGGCATGAGACTGTCCGACGTACCATGTCACATCCCTTTTTTCAACTGTCACATCTACGCTACAGCCCGCTGGCAGCACGCGGCCGACAATGGATCCAAAACATGCAACCTGAAACGCACAGGTGCGTTGCGAAAGCTGAGGTACTCGCTCGTCTGCCAGCTGGGACTCCACCTCATACAAAACAGTTCTAACATCAAGCTGTGTGTAATGAACCAGACATGAAGAGTAACAGGAAACCGTGAGACATGTGGGAGTTAGATTAACGAATCTTTGCTGTTTGGGGCTGCTAAGCTTGCCGCCCACACCAGCAACTTCTCTATATACTTTGGCGCTGACAGCTGCTGGGGCGTCTGGCAGGCAATGATGTATGACACATTGTGCATGCGGCAACTTGGCAGCACCTTGACTTTGTCACCATCTGCCCACTGCCACGCATAACTGCCGGCACTCATTGTTGGACATGTCGTCTCGGTGCAAATATCCTGGCCACAGACTGGGACACAATGGGTGGCAGACATGTGAGTACTTCCGCAAGTGCAACAGTTCGATTTTCATGTAACTGCGGCCGGCGGGGCACTTATAGCACCAGCTAGAAGGTTCAACCTTGACAGCAGGTCAACACAAACTCATGCACTGGCACATTCTAGCTAGAACGTGCAAAGGCTCGGGAAGCTCTGCAGATAAGTTCTGACAAGACACAGCCCAAATGCTGCATTGCCGACAGCACTGGTCCCATCGTAAACTTGGTGCCACACTCATTGAAGAGGTCGACAATGTTGACGGCCTCCAAATTTACACGACAGCTAGTTCTCCTCGATATCCTTACATTACCTTGAAGTCCCACCGGTCGTGGAGATGAGGCAGGCACTAACCATTCTTCCTCGCAGCAGCCGGTTGGAAGCCGCACCTGTTCCGAGCCGTGCTTACTGCAAACTTGAAAACCGCGAAAGATGATTGGTTCCAGCCCTACCCAACAACAACACTCCCAGCACACCCGCAGCACCCAGCTAAAGCCATCTTCCATGTGCCACCTTCCGTGCTGGCTGTTGCTCTCAATGGAAGGAACACAAAGTCACTAAGTCGGAGAACAAGGCGCATCTGGGGCGAAGTGTGGGACTTCCGCGCCCGACATTTAATGGGCGAAAGATGAACGGCATGCGAAGGAGTGGGTGTTTCATGTTTTCTTGTTCCAGCCCACGGTATGTCATGTCGGTCATGTTTCCAGTTACGCGACGAGCGAACCACTTCCTGCACGTCTTGCGGCCATTGATCGAATGTGAAATGTGCGCAGGTTCAATCCTCCAACACGTCACTCGCATCATCAGCGGTACTGGCGAGAAACTGGCAAATTTTTGGGACGAAGAAGAATCCAAACCAAGCTACACAGGTACACAAGCATGCTGTCCCGGAGCACGCTTGCAAGGGCGACATGGCAAAAGCACGCCGCGACGCCATCTGTGGATGGCCGGACGGGCGGTTGGGCGGGCGGGAACGAGACGGATTTTTTTTTTTCTCCGCGCACCTTTTCCGACTGCCCAAGAGGGTCCAGGTCCCCGTGCAGCTGCAAGCTACGGGCCCAGGCGGCTCGGGGTGGGAGGGATTGCGTCGTGCAGCACGTCCCCAAGCCCAGGGAGCTGGGAACCAGGCATGGCTCCAGTGATGTAAGGCGCGCCAAGCAGCGTTGCAGCAAGGGCGTTTTGCAGAGCAACGCTTAGCAAGCACCACCAGCGGCGCAGCCAACCGTGGCTAGCGGCGCTGCGCAGGGCGGCAGGAGCGCGCTGGGCTCGAAGCCGCACGGGTTGTGTGACGAAGCGGAGCGACTCGGCGCTCCCCCGCCAGCCTCGCACGCCGCTGGGGCCCCGGTCGCAACAGCTCGCGCTCGCGTCTCTCAACGACAGCGATCACGGCACCGTCGCGCGATGCGGCGGAAGGCTGGGGGCGCCCAGCACAAGGCCTCCCCGAGCGGGGGGTAGCTCCGTACGCTACAAAATCAAGGCGGCGGCGGTCGGCCGGATCGACATTGGGGGCCGATGTGCGCGCAAACCTTGTTGCGGGACGACCTGGCCCTCGGGCCAGGTGTGCTCAAGGGGCTTAGCTCGGCGCTCGGCGGGCGAGCGGGGGCAGGCGGCATGGTGGTCTCCATGCGCATCGCCAACTGTTCCACGGGCAGAGGCAGCCGCAGAGCGATGCCGGGCGACAGAGCGAACTCGGTTTCGCGGAAATGGATAGAGCAAGCGCGTGAAGCGTGATGCTGCCAGCCCTGGCACCTCTCGCCAGCAGATCGCATTGTGCGGGGCGTGATCGCTCCACAACGGGCGGCCCGTCCAGTTGGCACGGTCGAGCTTGCGCCTCGCCTCTTCAGCAGTGCGCAGGCACGCGGCGGCCGAAGCAGGACCTTGGGTGAGCTCGGCAAGGCAGCCGTCAAACTCTGCCGCCATCGCCCCACCCACTTCGAGCATGATGACAACGAAACTGCAGCGGCCAGCAGCCGAACTCAGGGTCTCTGGCCGCTTCCGTCTTGCTGCATTGGCCGCTGCCTTGCCCGGCTGTCGCGAAGTGCACGAGGAGCCCTTCGGCTACGCTTTGCTACAGTAACCCAATTGTACTTCGCTTTCTTTGGTTCACGTGCCTTCTTGAGACTGGATTTCTCCGGTCCATGTACAGGAAGGTACAGCCGGTCAGCATCCCCATGCCAGAGTCCAAGGGGGCAGCTCACGGGGGGAGGGGAAACGGCTTGCAACAGGCGAGTATCGAAGCGAGTGGAGGCGAGGTCGCTGAAAAGGCTCTGATCCGCGCCGATGCAATGGCCGCTGGCAGCACACTCGCGCCGGTCGAAATGCTCATCGCTCTGCGCTACCGCTTGTGCCTCTCTCTTCCCTTGTGGCAGTCGCTTGGCTATCAACGCGCCGCATGCGCCCACAGTGACCTCTCACCCTACAAGCCCCGATCCTCGAGCGCATGCGTGTGACCCCTGCTCCAGGATGCGAGCCCGCCGCATAGTGGTTCGTGGTTCTGGTTCAGTGCCGGCGGCTCCTGGACCTCGCCCTCTGCCATGCAGCATCCAATGAGCCCCTTCCCATCTTTGCTGCCATGGTAGCACGCCCAAACCGTTTACGAAAACGATTGCCTTGAGGCGGGATCCTTCGGCTTGAACAAGGCCGTGCTCTGCCCTGCACCGTTCCTTACAGAAATCCGGGTCACGCTGTTTCCCACTCGGTGGCATCTTCTTACTTTGCGTCTTCGGCTGCTGGCGCTCACGGGGCTGCCGCGGCTGTGAGCGTGGTGCCTCTAGACTCTAGCCTCGTGGGCTCAGTTCCACGGTTACGTCCCGGCGAATACAAGACTTCGAAAGCTGGCGGCTGGCGCTCCTTGGAGCACCCGCGGCCGCCAATCACCAAACACAGCTTCCGGCCCAAGGCCTAGCCTCACGTTTAAGCGTGTGGCCTGAACCGTATCTGGAGTTTGCCCATGCCTACGGCCTCTGCTTTGTGATCGGTGCGCACCCCAGTGCAACCCTTGCATCGCTGGAGTCGTTGCGAGCGGTTTGCGGCAAAGCTAGCCTCCTGCGTGCGGGGCCCTCAGCTGTAGTTAAACTTGCACTCTGGAACCTTTTGTTTGGTAGGTCTTGCGTGCATCAGCCATGGCCTGCAAGGATCTCCGGCCGCTGGCGCTCTTCGGGGCAGCTGCGGCTGCAGGATTTTTGCATTGTATTTGGGTCTCTAGCCACTCGCACTGCTAGTGATGGCAACTCTTCGCCATCTGGTTGGACACGTAGCGGCTTGCCACCTTGGTAGTGGAGCGCACGCACTGCGCACGCACGGCTGCTGCCCCTGCAGGTGCCGAAATGGTTACGCTGGGCGCTGGCACTGCCTCGCTTCAGGGTGCTGCCGCTCCCGTTGAGCTGCGTGACCACAGAAGTCAGAAACAAGCGGAAGTGGAAGCTGCGGACACAAAAGCGGCCAGCACACAGTTTCCTGACTTTTGTGCGGCAAACGTCTTCTTGTTGGGCTGGTGACACACTTTGCTCAGGAGGGCCCAGGAGGCTTCCGCTTGCACGCTCATGTCGCGCCCACCTCGCAGCGCTACCGTTGAGAAGGATGGTCGTGTTGTGGTGCGGTTTGCAAGCCTTCCTATGCTTCTTGACAAAGAAAAGCCCGATGGAGGCTTGGTGCAGAGCAGGCAGCCTGGGTTTCAGATAAGGGTCAGATTGCATGGACATCGCCGGCATCAGATGAAATCTTGACTGTTGAAAAGAAGCTGGGGTGCAACATCTCAAGTCCTGATGAAATGTCTGCCAAGTGGAACAACATGGTTGAGAACACGAGGTCATCAACTACTGAGCGGGAGATCCTCAACTTGTCCAATCACTGCGTACTTGCGGAGGTGTCTGGACATGTGGAGGCGAATGCTATCCACGTCAAAGGCTCAAGTTCCCAGGATCCGCATGTCGCAGATCGTGGGGAGCGAGAAGTTAACAAGTACATCACTGCCACCGCTGACGAGGAGAAACAAATGAATGATTTCGAGGCGATGGCCGAGTTGTTGGCCGTGAAGCAGCTCGCCACTTAGACGGTGACAAATGCGGTGCTTACCGTAAAGAATGAAAAAGTATTGGAAAGTGGATCTCGAGCATGAAAAAGGAACTTCAAAACATGACGGATCTTGATGTTTGGACGGCATGCCATCAGGACAGGGTTCGAAAGCATTTTCAATTGGATGAGTCCGAGAGTCTTCCAGCTCCTTTGCCCATGAAATTGGTCTCGACAAACAAAGCTGGAACAGCGGAACGTGCGGAGGATGCTGAGTTGGATTCATTCAAGGCGAGATGTCGAGCGGCAGGATGCGGAAACTTCCAGGGAGCTCCAAGAGCCGACCCGTCATCGCAAAACATTGATGCAACTGCCGTGAGGTACATGCTTCACGTGTGGGCCCGAAATCGTGAATGGATTGCATGTGCTTTTGACATCAGCGCTGCATTCCTGAATGCAGTGCTAGGGCCGGGACATAAGATCACTCTGAAGCCGCCGGGATTGCTGGTTAGATTCGGGCCCATGCCGTCGATGCAGCACGTCTCATGGCTGGTGGAGCTCGTTGGGCACGGACGCGGACCAGATCCCGGAGCAGCTGCTGCGCACCGGCATTCCAGCGTCCCCCAACCTCACTCCCCAACACGACGAGCTGTTGCGGGCCGCCGGCGCTCAGCTCCGGGTAGGCGACTCGCTTGCGGCGCTCCGCGACGCGCAGGGCTGCACCGTCATGCTCAGCTGCACAAGGCTGCGGCAAGCCCGTGCGCGACAGCGGCGAAACCAGCGTCGCGTCGCAGCAAAGAGCCCCGCCAAGAGGCGTCGCGCCGTAGATGACGAGGTCCAGGCGGCGCCGGTCGTCGGAGCGGACGTTGGGTGCGGTTGTGTGCGCTAGCCACTGTGGGGGACCACTTGTCCGTCCGGGCCGACGGCTTCCCGAGCCACACGCACCCATGCCCGCTCCACAATCTTTGCCCTGCGAGCCAATAGACCGGTGCGAGGGCAGGCCAAGGCATGGTCGCGGTAAGCATCCACCTCGCCTCCGCACCCGGGCCGGCCACAACGGTTGGCACAGAGGAGCAATGGCAGGCGACGGCGCAGTGCCAGCAGCATCGCTTGGGGTGGAAGCGTGGTGGCCGGCTCACTGGGTATGGCAGGCAACCAAGCCCCTGCATGTGGGCCAGCCTGCGACCGGAGAAGGGCTCCAGCGGAGGGCGACAGGGAAGGCAGCAGCGTGCGCTCGCGGAAGTAAAGGTTGCGAATACGCGATGCACTGTGCTGCCATCCATGTGGCCAGTCGCCTAAACCTTGGTCGGTGGAGCGGGGTGGTCTGGCACCCGCAAGGACTGCTTCCCAAGTAGGGCACTCGCGCCAACCTTCCGCCTGTAACAAGTGCCGGGCCTCAGCTGCGCTCCTGAGGCTCGGTGCGCGGCCTTCTGCTGTAGCGAGCAGACGCGTGCACGCTTCCGCGAACGCCGGCAAGCGCGCTTGCAGAACGGGCAACGCGTCAGCCCACGCAGCCCAGTATGCAGCAGGCGCACTGCGAGTAGCAGAAGTCAAGCATAGTCAAGCCAAGGCCTCCGAGGGCAGCCGGTAACATTGCGATGCTTTGTGCGCCTCCAACAGCTGCCGGGGCGACGTCTCCGAGGCAGAGTTGCAGAGTCTCCCAGATGGCATTGTCATGTGCCGGGGCGTAAGTCGCCACGGCATGTGGGGGGACGGTCCGCAGCGCATGATTAGCTCGCGGTGCTGCACACATCGCAAGAAGCAGCACTGCGCACTGCAGGTCAGGGAGCTGGGGCAGTTGGTGCAGGAACTCCCGTTCCGTCCGCATCCGTTGCTGAGCCCACGCGGTCACGAACTCTGGGTGGCCGACAGGGGTGCCCAGCACTAAAAGCCCGCGCTCGGCGAGTGGCTTGTCCCCACGCCAAACGTCCGCTCCCAGCGCAGCTATGCCCGGAGGGGGCGGCCCTTCGCCGCTGCTGTACGCGCGCGTCTTCCCGTCGTTGGAAGCAATGCCACATTCGGCTTGAACGACCTCGACTACTGTGTCGCGGGCGGCTCGTGCTCGCTCGCGCGTGGTGAGGACGTACAAATCGTCGAGGAATGCCAACAGCGTGTCGGAGGAGTGGAGGGCGGAGGCAGCTTTCCGCAAAGCTTCGTGCTGTCCCAAAGAGTAGAGCGCAGGGGCTAGCGGGTCGCCCTGCTCACACCCTTCTCCTTGAGCGATGTTCCGGCACCTGCCTTGAGCATCCCACCAGCAGTAAGTGGATGGTCCCCGTAAAAGAGCCGCACGAAAGGGAGCAACTCTGGCGCGGCCACTTTGAGTGCAGTCAGGAAGGACGCCCGAGACATGGTGTCGTAGGCACTCCGCCCGTCGAGCGAAACCAAAACTGCGTCATCGCGCAATTCCAGTGCCGTTCGCACACATGCCGCGAGGGCGTCCGTGCCAGCACGTGCTTGCAAGGCAAACTGGTACGGTCGCGTCGCCTCATCAAACACCGTCGCCCAACTTTTAGCCAGAGCTCGCGAAACGAGGCGGCGAAACACATCGCCCGTCGCGATGCCGCGCACACCGCCGTCGGGCTTGCGAAGTGCCGTTAGGCGTGCCAAAGCTAGGGCTGGGACGATGTCGGCGGGCACTTCCGCATTCGCGAGCTTGGTCGCCGCGAAGGCGAGAAGCTCCATAGCGGCAACGTCAATGAGCAGAGTCTTTAAATGCTCCGCGCGCATACCCGTCAGTCCCGCTGCGCCTCCCCGCCGTGCTTCGCGCAACGCTGCTGCAACAAGAGATGGTCCAAGTTGGATGGGCTGGGCGGGGCACCGTGGTTCCTGCACGGCGTCCGGGATGGGGGTTCGCGGTTCCGTTGCCGGGCGCAAGTTCTGCAGCGGTCAGGAGCTGACGAGCTCTTGAAAGCTCGCCAACCTTTACTTTCGCACAGGCTTGTTCACGCTTGCGCTCGGCGAGGGCTTCAGCGTCCAGGGCCTCGCCCCGCGTGGACGCGACAGAACGGCGCGCCGCGGCCAGCAACGATACCCAGTCTCCTCGCTGGAACGCTGATGCGCGGGATAAGAGTTCGTCCCGCCCTTGGGCTCCTCGGTGGGCCGTGCGTGCGAGGAGCATGCGAGGTGCAAGGAGGAACAGCTTCCATGCACGGGACGTGCGGGCGGCGTCCGTCGTGGTGCGGCCACTGGTGGAGTCGCGGATGCGGCTCAGCGCAGGCGAACAGCCGATCGCATGAACGGCGGCACATCCTGCATTGTGGGGACGGGGCTTCGCAGCTCCTCGGTCATATCCACAGCGTCATTGGTGGCCCATGCCGTTTCCGGGATCCCCGCCGTCGCGCATGTAGCATCTTCCCGTGGTACTGCGCGTCCCGGGCAGACAGGCACGCCATCCTCGCCTTCATCGCTGGATGGGGGTGCATGGCTCGGGCCGCGCGCAACGCGGTGTCGGGCACGCCGTCGGCCACGTCGAGCCGTTTGGGAGCGCTCCCCGCGATCTGCGTGCTGGGCGCGGCGGGCATCGTCTGCAAGAGCCCGTGCGGCGGTTGCTCCGGCGGCTCCTGCGTACGATTCGAGCAGTGTTGAAAGGCTCCGGGCTATTCCTATGGCGACCTTCATTTTTTTTTTCGCGCACAGTTTGTGCGACCAGTACGAGCGCGGTCTCTGTCATCTTAGGCCTCACAGCTTTGATACCGGGATTCTGGAACATCTACGATGGGAGTGAGATTGTCGGACTGACGAGTATGTTCGTTGACGATGGCCTCTCCATAGGTCCGCCGGAAGTGGTCATGCGAGTGATTGAGCACGTCCGCAAGCTATGGAAAACTACGGTTCAAGGGTATCGGGGATGGCAAAATGGGGGCCTTGAGAGCCGTGGAGATTTGGAGCAACACAAGTGGCTGAGTCAAGAGCTCAATCGGCGAGGATTTTTGCACTTGAATGGCTGTGATGCCGTACCTTCTTTGGACAATGCGCCGGCTCAACCAGCTGCGAAGAATGAAAATTACCATAAGGCATTGAAGGAAGTTCAATCCGACATTGGATCACTCATGTGGCTATCTCTTAGGACGCGCCCCGATGTTCAAGCATGCACCTCAATGCTAGCATGTCTGTCCACTGTTGATCCGGAGTATGTTCGGAAGTGCTTGAAGAAAGTTTGGAGGTATTTGCGAGGAACCTTTTGGGTCCGCTTGAAGTATACAGGAAGCCGAGAAAGGACTCGGACCATCACAACGGCATCTGACGCAAGCTTCGCTCCACAAGGATCCCGATTAAGAACCGGAATTACATTGTCCCTGGGCGCAAGATCTGCTCTCGTGGAGGTCAATGAGGCAAGGGCTGGTAGCATGGTCCACGGATGCTGCTGCCTCAGGGTTGCAAGAAACTTTCAAGTTCAAGACGATCAGTGAGGAGCTGGAAGGGGCACAAAATGAGATCCGGATGCTAGTGGATAAGCTCAGCTGTGTGACCTTACAGCATTTACCATCAGAACGTCGTGGATCCGAGACCAACTCCGTGATGAAAGGGTGACTGTCCAACACTACGCGGGTCGAGAGCTTGTTGCTGATGCGTTAACAAAAGTGTTGCAGAGAACACGTCGCAGGGAGATGAGACAACGAATGCAGTTGACATGATGTTATGAAAATCTTGGAGGCTAGAAGCTTCATAGGTCAAGCAACTGGCAAAGGGATAAAGTCCACCCGAATAGTTTACGTTAGACTTGTGGAGGCTTCGCCAAGAGATTAAAGTCCAGCGGGCCTCGCATGACCGCCAAGAAGGAGTGCTGCTTGTGACATGCACCGGCCCCTTCGCAAACATGACACGGACAAGCCTCGAAAAGGGCTTGGGTTAACCACAACCTATGCCACTGACTGTGGCTCAACATGCAACAAAATCTCTGAGCGGAGCTTGGGGTTATTCCGAGTTTGGGATTGGGGTCCCTTCCTGGTATCCTCTTCCTTCCTCTTCCTGATATCCTCGGCCCGAGCCGGTGTTCAGGGTGTTAGGGGAGTGATTAATTCGTGCAGGGATTCAGGGCTA